CTCATCAGGCTCAAGGTTGACTCAGCCTTCCATCCTTCCAACATTGGTATAGTGAGGACCCAGATTGTTGGGGGCAATAGGCTGACTATAAACTGCTTAGAGAGAACTATAAAGCACTGTGAAGCAGTATATAAGTCTATTACTATATGACCATCCATCCATCCACTTGCATTCTTCATGTTGCTGATAGATGCCCAAGGAGCAAAACTTCGTGAGAGCTGATGTCTTGATATGCGTTTTAGACCAGGGGTCCCCAACACCCGAGCCGCAGCCCACTACCGAGCCATGGCCCATTTGGAACCGGGCTGTGTGGGTGGCTGATTGGCCCACACACGTATGCGTGGCTTGACTTATGCGAGTGGTGGGCCACCACAGGGCAGTTTCTCTCTTCCCCTGCCCCACCGGGCTGCCAAGCCGTAAAGCTTGGGGACCGCTGTTTTAGACCATACAGTTCTTCTTCCTTCAAAATAGGGCAACGGCAAAATATCTTTCCTTTTCTTTTCCCATGCTGCCCAATCCTCACCACCAGGAAACAAATTTACCAAAGACGCAACCAAGATTGAGCCATCAAGCCCCTCTGGGGACGTCTCCCCTGAACCACATAGAATGGCATTTCTTGATTTAGCAGGGACCTCTCAAGCTAATCACAGGTAAGCTCATTTTTATCTTGTTTAAATGGTGGAATATGAAGACCATTTTGTATCATTGCTGGGATATGTAGCTGATAATATTGCCTCTGAACATGGAGGTTGTATTTTAATTAATATAGCTGATACTTATTTATACAATTCTTCCATAATTACATTATTTTTTAAACCAAATAGTTCAGCAGCCATTTTGGGACAAGAGTTCCATGCTTTGATTATACCCAGATTGTTGTTGGGGGCAATATGCTGACTCTGTAAACTGCTTAGAGAGGGCTGAAAGCCCTATGAAGCGGTATATAAGTCTAACTATTGTGTTAAGAAGTAGATCAAGCCATTATATGGAAAGTCCTTGGGATTCCAATGACTTTATTAAAAGCATGAACTGTTAAGCCACAAATACTTGTTATTTGATTAATTGTGTTCTTTCTTTGTTGTCCTATACCTGTGTTTCTTAGGGAAATCTTCGTAGGTGATACTCTTGTCACCAACTTGTTTTTTTCGATGTTCAGGTTGTTTTCCCAGACAGTCACTAGATGGCAGCAGATACAACCATCTCTTCTTTGCTGCCATCCAATGGTCATATTGTCAGCTTAGATTTGGCAGCCTTGTTCTAGATAAAATCAAGAAAAGAATTACACTAGACTAGATTTTTATCCGTATTACTTGAATCTCAATCTCATTTCCCCCCCCAGAAAACTGTTTTGTTGATACACTGGCCCAGTGATATGATTAAGTTAAAAGAAAGACATAATTCCATAACCACTGAACAGGGATATTTATATACATTTATTGCCTTGTCAGTTCTATTGATCTCTCATAATATAAATCAATTTCACATCTCAGCTTGCCAAGCACAAAGACAAGGTAATATAGCCAAAGATTCATTGCAGTTTAGCACAGGAAGTATTCTTCTATCTTAGAAGACTTTATTCTTTTGAAAAGGATGTGAAGTAAGGATTAAACAGTTGACATAAATAGAATGATCCTATTTATCCAAATGAGCCCATCCTCCAGCTGTGAATATTATATTTGACTGACAGATTACAGATCCAAAGGATACGTAGAAGGATGCAGAATGCAAAAATAAAAAAAAATTCCAGAAAAAATGAAATGAACCAAAGCAAATCTTCGACATGACCAAAATTGATCCCAAAATTTATATTGCTAAGTGAGATACTTATTAATTAATTAATTTATTTATTTTATTTATTTATAGGGTTTGTATGCCGCCCACTCTCAAGAGACTCAGGGTGGCTTACAGATAAAAAGGAAGGGGGAACATACAAAAATTAAAAAACAACATTAAAATTCCATAACATTCGTAGCTTAGGATGGGGGCTGGATAAATCAACAGCCCCAGGCCTGCCAGAACAGCCAGGTCTTGGTCGCTTTGCGGAAGGCTGGAAGGGTAGTAAGGGTCCGGATCTCCACGGGAAGATCGTTCCATAGTGCCGGAACAGCTACAGAGAAGGCCCTCCCCCGGGGAGTCACCAGCCAACATTGACCGGCAGATGGAATCCGGAGGAGGCCTAGTCTGTGAGATCTTATGGGTCTCTGGGAGGTAAATGGCAGGAGGCGGTCTCTCAGGTAGCCAGGTCCTATACAATGTAGGACTTTAAAAGTAACGAGACTAGCACCTTGAAGCGTGTCCAGAGACCATGGGAAGCCAGTGCAGCTCGCGGA